TCTCACGTCTTGAAGTTTCTAGCTGACCTCATCCCACGACAGGGACGGCATCGGACTGAAAACTTCCATCCAAGGAGTAGGTGAGGGCAGGTGCTGTCGTTCGTAACAAATGCCTGGCTAGTTAGAGGGCTCTAAAGGCAGCTGTGTTTATTACCAACACCCGAGTTAGGTAACTGTCAAGGGGTGCTGCTTTCAGCATTCAAATTCAGAGTCTTGGAGAGCTCTTGAGGGAATATGACTAGAATGGAAATCCTAGGTCATAAAATATGGGCATCCTTCAATTCTACTAACTATTGGTAAACTGCTCTCCGAATACCAGTTCCACTTGGTATATCACTTCCACACACAGGGGGCGAAGAGATTTTCCATCACGCTACACCCTCATCTGCACTTGGGATTTTTAGACTTCTTATTTTTTGATGGGTTTAAAAGGCTAACTTGTTTTGATATTTATATCTTTGATTACTAGTGGGAAAGGCATGTGTATGAGGCATCTGGGTTTCCTTTTTTGTGAATTGCTTATTCCTGGGTTTTCCCCTATTTTCCTATGAGGGTGTTTGCCTTTTTCTTATTTGGTAGGGATTCTTTAAATACTAATACTAATAACTGGCATTCATTGTGCTAATTCATAAAATTCTCAGAACTCTACAAGGTATATACCACTCTTATCCTCAATTTACAAATGAAGAAATTATATCACAGAGAAGTAAGTCGCCCCAAGGTCCACTGCTAGTAAGTAGCAGAGCTGGAATTCAAACTCTGCCAATCTGGCTCCACTACATTTTACAGATTCTGAATATTAATCCTTTTTCAGAATATGCATTATACAATAATTACCACTATTTTTCTTAACTTTCCATTTGAAATGGAAAATTTCAAATACATGCAAAAAGAAACTGAATACCGTAATGAACTCCTCCTAGGTACCTGTCACCCAGTTTCAACCATTTCAACTCATAGCTAATCTTGTTTCATCTGCACTCCGCCCACTTCACCCTCCCCTGTTATTATGAAGCAAACCCACACACATGGCATTTCTTCCATAAACACTTCAGTAAGCATCTCTGAAACATGAAGACTGGTTAAAGTACTCTCTACACCCATCATGGGGCTCAAACTTAGAACCCCAGGATCAAGAGTTGCATGCTCTTATCGACTGAGCCAGCCAGACACCCCAATAAGAAAGGCTTTTTTTTTTTTAATTTAATTTTGAAGTAATCTCTATACCCAACATGAGACTTGAACTTAACCCTGAGATGAGGAGTCACATGTTCTACTGACTGAGCCAGCCAGGTGTCCCTAAATCATGAGGACGCCTTTTAACATAACCATACCACCATGTTATATTTAAAAATTCATGATGATTCTTTAGAAATAATACTTTGAAAAAGAAAAAAGCCCTTTCTTAAATAAAGCTCTAGCTTTGACTTTAACTGCTACATTCATCTAATAGGATCATCTGATTAATTTTGCTTTCTTCTTGCAATACAAAGCCAGTATTAGTAAAACAACTCCCTATAATTAAAGAGGAGAAATGGGAAAGGGATACTTGTAAACTGAAAAGGCTGAGCCCAGAAAATAATATACCAACCAATTTCCTTCTCATCACTCCTAGCCCCCAATGTTATCTTACTATTCACTGTGGGGACTCTAAGGTTTCGTGGCAAGGACACTGGTATACAGCCAGATTCTTCACTCGACAGAACCCTCCGACAGTGTGGACAGGAGACTGGCATGGGAGCCAGGCCAGGGAGGGGGAAGGGATTTTCAGTAATTTTCCTTGTTCCAGTAAGCCAGGTATTGTGGGTATTGATGGCAGCTGGGGGGAGGGAGCCCTCCTGAGAGAAGGTCTGTGCCTGACACTCCCACCCAGCTCCAAATCCCAGTCCACTTATTCTGAAAACCATTTCTATTAGCTGGTCCCTGTCAGCCTATCTCGGTGTTAACTACTTCCTGACAAGGGAAGTATCAACTATCGCAGGTGAACAGGAAGGTAGACCATTTGTCTTCTCCTATCTAAACCCCACACTCAGCAAGGATCAGAATCAGTTCCCATTTCTCTCTATCCTGAAAAGAAACAAAACCCCACTGCCAAGTTTGTCGCGCCACAGCCTGGTCCCAAGCCCGACAACACACCCTGGGCGGATCAACGGGAGAGACGATGCGGCCTGAGTTCCGCCAACGACAGACAGCACTCTGGAACCCGAATTGCTCCCGGAGGAGGGTTACTACTCTGACATCATTAAAAGCAAAACAAGCGCCAAAGAGCAACCACAAAATCAACTCCGTGGAACTGCCGGCTGCCGGGCCTTCAGGGAGGTGCTGCAGTGTGAGCAGCACTGCCCTTCTGACCGCGTGCCCCCCCACGGCTCCCACACTCCACAGACGGAACCCCACTCCTGTCACATGCTCCCGCCTCGAGTCACAACCCGCATGCTACAGGAGGCCTGTCTCCCTGGCTGTTGTCCTGGAGGCCTGGGAGCAGCCTGCTGGTAAGGGAGCAGCTCCCTCAAGACAGTTCCTGTCGGAACCAGTGAGGGTTTCAGGCCTCTTGGCCTAAAGGACTTTAATTCTGAAGGGACTAAATGTTGAGAAGTTACTTCTTATCTGTGACACAGGGTGCTCAGTCTGTGGTCCCTGCCTCACACGATGGACACGGAGCCTCAGAAATGTTATCAGCTGGGGCGCCTGGGTGGCTCAGTCGTTAGGCGTCTGCCTTCGGCTCAGGTCATGATCCCGGGGTCCTGGGATCGAGCCCCACATCAGGCTCCCTGCTCGGTGGGAAGCCTGCTTCTCCCTCTCCCACTCCCCCTCCTTGTGTTCCCTCTCTCGCTGTGTCTCTCTGTCAAATAAATAAATAAAATCTTTAAAAAAAAAAAATGTTATCAGCCATCTGAGCTGACACTCAGTCACTGAGTTTTTCAGCCTGGGCTATAACTGAGTGGTCTGTCCGTGTCTGCTCTGAAAGGGTGGGGGGGGGGGGGGGCTGCCCAGAAAACACCACACACCAATTTGACTCATACTGAACAGCCAAAGAATCACACTGCTATCAATACTGTTGAACTATAGATCATGGCCCGAAAGGTTTCTCCTACCAACCTTTTCCTTAAGACTCTGCACAGGGTTGTTCGGGCCCTCCCCTTCTCAGTGTGGAGATTCCAGACTAAAAGTGCCATGGTCACCTATGGTCCATTATCTAGAATTGATTTCCACTAGGAGTTCCTTAAAATTTGACACTCCAAACTTTCTGACAATCTCACGCTCAATTATAAGCATGTTTCCTAAAACATTATGGTGCCTCCAAACTTCAATGCCAATGGTATCAAAAGAGCAATCAGTTCAGCAAAACTGCTCTGCATCCATTCCAAACAAAGATAAGAGCTCAAATACTCATACACTCCACCCCAGCAGCCTCCACTGCTTTCCTTCCCAACTTCTCTCCCCCCACCCACCCCACCACCACACACATTCTCTACCTACCGGGGCCTCTTGCCCAACCATATAATAAGTATTTTCAATGGCCACATGTCCCTCTAGCTGTTGGGAGTTTCTAAACTCTGCAATAACAAAGGGCACTGACATGAGCCTATCCGTGGAGCAAATTCATCCCCACAGAGGACGTTTTAAGCACAGATCAAGCACAAGAGACTGTGTCTCTACTCGGCCTCATGCTGTCAGGTGGTAACGGGGCACCACCATACATAGGCCACATCCCTGCTCTGCAAACACCAGGGCAGGTGGCCACAGCCAGAGCAAGGAAAATGCCCTACTTCATCTCCCACCTTTTGCTGCTCTCATTTCCTAAAGTTTTTATTTCTTCTGCTGCAGAAGCTGACATGCCAACAAAAGTTCTTCAATCACTGGTGATTTAAAACTTCAGTCAGGGGCGCCTGGGTGGCTCAGTCGTTAAGCGTCTGCCTTCGGCTCAGGTCATGATCCCAGCGTCCTGGGATCGAGCCCCGCATTGGGTTCCCTGCTCGGTGGGAAGCCTGCTTCTCCCTCTCCTACTCCCCCTGCCTGTGTTCCCTCTCTCGCTGTGTCTCTCTCTGTCAAATAAATAAATAAAAATCTTAAAAAAATAAATAAAACTTCAGTCACCCACACAATTACACACTTACATGCCAGACCCTGGGCTGGGTCCTCTTCCTCCCTCAGTGTCCAGATCTCTTGAATGGCTACCTGCTCCTAGACCTAAAAAGCATTCACAGCACCCACCACATTCACCACGGCCACCTATGCCTCAATATATACCACACAAACAAAAACTTGTTAAAGTCATAAACAAGTCCAATCAGAACACAAACTTTTTCTAGCCTTGAACCTTCAAACTACCTAACCCCCCTCTCTGGATTAATCTCCAGATAATTCTGTGTGCCTCTCCTCTGATGCTTGAGTTAGGAACCAAAGGAGGATCAGCCCTCTCCACCTGTGCGAATATTGGAGGGGTGTTGTCATTAGCAGTGTTCCCGCAGGAGTAGGATTATATCAGCTCATAAGAACATCACTCTCTAGGGAAGAACAATCACGTTGGTGAGAACTGTCTCACCCCGAACCCCTTCAACACCCTCCACGCCTTCCACCCTCACTTAGGAGATGCAGCCAGGCCTCCCCTCGTCCTTTCTACTACACCACAACTCCCTGCAGCAGAGAAGCTGATAAACAGACCTGCCTGAGAAAGTTAAGTGCTACCTAGCACTGCACGTTGAAAGATAACTCCACCAGATAGCTTGAGCAATTATGCTGCGTGGTTACCCGGAATCAGGGATTCCCCAGAGACAACAAAAGACTTGGGTTCAAGCATCAAGGGGCAGACCTGAAATAGACTCCGTTTGCCAAACCCAGTCATTAACTCTCGGTACGCAGCACAGATAAGCTTGAGAAGAAGCACCAAGATCCTCACTGTTTAGCACACTCCACTTTAACAAGTTTGAGGGCCAGAAATCCAAACGTGAACGTAGCCCACCCGCCTCCTCCACACCCCACAATGGGGTGTGACTTGCCTCCAAAGAAAGGGTGCCATCCTCTTCCGAGAAGGATGTGGAGCTCTTTTCAGGTTCTGTGTCTCTAGGTTGGACCCCATGTAAATGTGGCCCGTCACTGCCATAGCCAGAGGAGGAGGGCAAAATGCTCGCAGTCCTGCCGCTGATGGATAAATCACTCTGAGAAGTAGGCAGTCTTAGACCCGGGGGGGGCACTCGACCCATGTTGGGGGCTTCTGTGCGTCTGTGGCCTCTCGACGGGTCCAGCGGGGGTGAAGGAACAGAAGGCTCTGCAATCCAGGAACCTGTGTGAGGGGCACTGCCAAGAGCCGTGGTTCCTGCCCCCACACGCCAGCCCTCTGAAAGGTGGTCTTGAGCCCCTGCAATGGCAGGGTGGTCTGTCCTGGGGAAAGTGCTGCTCCGAAGTCCAAGCGGAGCCCCTCCTTTCCCCCCTGCAGTCTCCCCTTGCAAAGCCAGCAGCACAGCCCTGCTGCTGCACGATGCTGGCCTCGGAAATTCCACCAGCTGGCTCACTGACTTCTCACAGTTCCTTTCCGCTGGGTTATCTAGCAGGTGAGCGATGACAGTCATCCCCTCTTCCAGGGAATCCCAGACCCCTCTGGCAACCGATGACTCATTCTCTAACAAAAGGTGAGCAGTCTGGATCTCCCCTTGGAATCTCTCCTTCACCTGCACGATCATCCCCTGGTCGCCCACCCCTGAGCTGGGGGCCGAGTTCCGAGGCAGTGAAATGTCTGGGCGGGGATGCTCTACCCCTCCTGCTCCTTCCTCCTTTTGGAGACTCACTGTTAACTTCGGTTGGGTTTCCGTCTCTTCAATGACTCTGGTTCCTTCCAAGCGTTCTTCCTCATGAGACACCTCTGGAGTAGGGGTTTTCTTCCCCCTCCACTTCCTTTTGAACCGAACCCTTTTCTTAGGAGATATGGGAGCCTTCTCAGGAATAGCTAGTGATTCTTTCGGCTCCTTAACACAGCCCAGTGAATTTCCCATCGCCTTCCTTTCCTAATCTCATCAAAAACGCAGCTAAGCCAGTCCTGGTATCCCAGAGAAATCCCAACGTTGGCTTCATCGGATTCGATGCACATTTAAAAACATGCACTATGCCGGCAATCCCTCCAATTCTTTCTCCCTCCCTCCCCGCCTCTCTGTCTCTCCCAGCCGCTGCCGATTCAGACAGCCATCTTACAGGCTCAGAGCTGCAACAAGACAAATTCAAAGCATCTCACTGCAGTTCAGAAATCACTTGACCTAAAAGCAGACAGAAACCGGATTGGCTGCAGCTTCCTCTCTCCAAATATGAGGTAATTGGAGCACTGCCCTCAGAAACACAAACAGAAAGCAAAAAGGAGCTAGAAACCAGGGGAGGGGAAAACCTACGGAGGGTGAGGAGGAGGGGGTGGGATGTAAGAGTAAAGGGAAAAGGGAGGGGAAAGGAGAGAGGCCATGGAAGAAGGTAACGTGAAGGAAGGAGGAGGAGGAAGAGGGGAAAGCAAACCAGCCTGCTGCTACCAGCCGGGCAGGGAAGGGCCAAGAAGAACCAGGCCAGGGAATGCTGCCATTATCGCTGCCCCAAGACTCTGAAAGGGAAGAGATTTCAAATTGTTGTGCCAGGATGTCCAAAAGAAAATATCAAGCAATGTACATATATGTTCAAATTTTTCAGGTCAGAAATAATAAAATTATTTTAAACAAATTAAACCTGAAGAGAGACCGGAGCTTACTCCTCACAGTTAAGACAACAGGCTTTAAAGATCTAACCTCCTATAGCATGTTTCCCTCCTCCTTGCCTTCCCCCTAAGAGAGAAAGACAGAAGAGAGATAGAGAGAGCAGAGAGATCTGTTAATTCTGTTAGCCAACGACACAGAGGAGACCCTCGGAAACGGTTTTGAGTATCGTGTGAGGAAGCTCTGTAAAAAAGGATACGGCTTCCAATTAAACAGAGATGCTCCACCTCTGTGAACAATAGTTGGCACAAATGTTCAACAGTAATTACTGATGCCGCCGGCTAACATTCTTTTCAGCATTTGTTATGTGCCAAGCACTGTGCTAAGCTATGCATGCATCACCTCATTTCATTCTGTCGGCAACCATATGAGGTCAAAATTACTATTTTACAGGTAAAGAAACGGAGGTTTAAGAAAGTTGATTAACTTGCTTGGGGCTACACAGCTAGTAAGTGGCAAAGCCCCATGTTATACTACATTCTAACTGCAGCAGGAATGAGTCTGTCCTCAATTAAGTAAAACAGGAAGATACCCACTGTTCTGAATTGTCAACTAGACTCACATGGGCCAAGAGCTCAAACAGATAACACTGGGCTATTGGAAGTAAGAGAGGAAGTTGCTAAAATGAGGCCCAGATGGTTTTTACTCAAGTTGCAGAAGGGCAGGAAGTCTGAATTAAAGTCTTAAAAGTTGGATTCAAAAATCACCCTGTTATGTCAATGGGATTCGCCCACCCCAATTTTTAGTACAGTGTCTGACAGATGAGACAACAGCACAACCCAAGGGGCTCTGGACGGCGTGGAAAGCCATTGTATGTGTTTCTTCCCTACTGCCACCATTTATTCTATACCAAAAGGATCCAGACCACACAGACCCAACCTCTCCTGGAGTCCTGAAAAATGCCCACCACAGAAGGAAAGCAATAAGACACCCTAAAGCAACAGCTCCTACATGACTGCTCCTGAGACCCTGCACTTGTCTGCCTCCATGCAGTAGGTGTTTCTCCCCAAGCCTTTCCCTACAGCTGAGTGCGAAGTGGCAGCACCATCTTATGGTGATCATAAACCACAGCAAGAAACCAGACAAGGAGACTAGCATGGGAGAGAAACTCAATCAGACTACAGGAAATCATTTAATCAGCAAAAAACCCTGACATTACAATATAATTCTCTAGGCAGGCACCAGGCCTTCATTCCTCCAACAAAGAGAACTGGAATAATGAAACTTTCCAGATGCACACCCCAAGGCCCAAGCTTGAATAAAATTCATGAAATCCAAGCAAACCAAATTCCTGAAACTGATCAACTCCAGGGCAAGGGAGACAGCTGCTTAGTCCGATGGCTGCTGAGAGGCCTGAGAGAACCTAGCATATTTATTTCTAGGAGCCTTTTCTTTTTCCAACTTCTTGCATATGTTGGACAAGTCAGGCCTTCACTTCCTTCTGCTCCAAGGGAAAACTGGCCTTGGGAAGGAGCAGAGCTTTCAGTAAAGTAGGCCTAGGTTCAAATTCCCAGCTCTAGGAACTTGGTAGCTAAGTAACTAACTACCTGTAAAATGTGGATACTACCACCCGTGTAAGGGGGTGAGCGAGGGCTGATGAGATAACCCCTATAAAGATAGTGTTGGGCTCAGTGCCTGGTCTATAGTAAATCCCTTTGCTTCCCATTTGTTACTTAAGCCATAAGATAGGAGACACTCTACTCACCACCACTAGGGTCCTAATAGACTCTCTTTCTTGGCTAGGCTCTAAGGAAAGTAGATACATTCTAAGGTCCAAAGTTTGGGTGCTTGTTTTTCTTTTCTTTTTTTTTAAGATTTTATTTTATTTTTTTAAGCAATCTCCACACCTAACGTGGGGCTCGAACTTACAACCCCGAGATCAAGAGTCACATGCTCCACAGTCTGAGTGAGCCAGGTACCCCAGGGGCTTGTTTTACTTCACAGGGGCTCTGCTTCCACTATTTCACTAAGTAACTCTGATCACCAAGACCTCCCCCTGGACCTTTTTCTCATCTCGCCTGAGCTCTGAACACACGGCCTGCTGCCTTCTGGAAAAGCAGCCGACTAGGGGTGACTAGGGCACAGACATTCTGCAGGTCTTCTGCTTTGGCTTTTTCTAATTAACTGTTTATTGCCCACAGCTCTCCCGTGGAGAAAGCCAGAGTGAATGAGCTTATTCTCATTCCACAAACATCAATGGTGCCTCATCCATATGCCAAGTACCAAGTGCCATAAAGTACACAAAAATGTAAACCTCACATCTACCAGCTAAAACCACTTTTCGCCTTAACTCCTTGAATTTTTTTTTTTTAATTTCGGAGTGCTAGATGTATCCTGGTACTTAATAAACATTTGAGAGTTGGAAAGCTAATTTTGTCAGATTCTGACTTTGAAGAACTTAACTTTTAGAAAAACTGTAAATCCTAACATTAAAACAGGTTTGGACAAAATCAAGAGACAAGAAATCCTATTATTAGGATCTGCAAGTGTAATCCAAAAATGTCAGCTGGACAGTTTCGGTTGCTCATCTAACAACCAGCACTGGAAAATGGCCATCACAGTCTATTTATCTGGTTTACCTATCCCACAGCTTTGAGAAGATGAAATACATAAAATATCCATTCACTTAACAAATATTTATTAAGTACCTGTTCTAAGCCAGGCCAAGAAGAGAACAAAAGAGACAAAACCCATTGTTAAGCTGGCATCCTACTGCAGAGATCCAGACAACACATAAACAAACATTCAAACAGTAGTAGGTGTTATCCAACACAACACCATGCGTCACAAGCTGCTTCTGAGAGTAATTTGGCAAAAGATAAGTGTATAACCCAGCAATTCCAGCCCAGGTATCTATCCAAACAACCCACTTCCAGAAAAACAAAAAAACAGAAAACAAACAACAACAACAAAACCCCACCTTCCCGTTTGCGTAAGGACACATGTACACAGATGTTCACTGTAGCAACGAATGCCTTCTTCATACTGGTAAGTAACAGACTACAAATAACAGCTGTATCACACAGCTGCAGGGGCTCCATGCACACTGTAGTCCACACAAATCAGTTACAGTGAACAAATCAGGTCCTCTTTTATCAACACAATAAACCTCAAAAACAAAGTTTAATTTAAAAAAGAAAGGGTATACAGAAGAGAGGATCTGTGTCAACTATAAAAACAGCACATATTGTTTCTCAATACTCATCTGTCATAAAGGTACAGAAGCATATATGGAAATGATCTATATCAACTTCGGGACAGTACTTACCCGGGGGATCAGAGGGAGCAAGAAAGTTGGCTGTATCGGAAATGTTTCATTAGCACCAATAACAGAGATTTATAATGACTGTTTTACTGATCCCCTAACATTTAATAGCTCTACTCTACATTTCTCTTTGGCTTTATATAGCATGTGTCCTTGGTGAGAACAGTTAACAGATACTCAATAATAAAAGACTAGAAAACCGCAATAATACATGACTAGCAAGAGACACGTCATACTCTCTCTGAAGCAAGACAAGGATAGTGGAGGGGCGCCTGGGTGGCTCAGTCATTAAGCGTCTGCCTTTGGCTCCGGTCATGATCCCAGAGTCCTGGGCTCGAGCCCTGCATCGGGCTCCCTGCTCTGCAGGAAGCCTGCTTTCCCTCTCCCTCTGCCCCTGCTTGTGTTCCCTTTCTCGCTGTGTTTCTGTCAAATAAATAAATAAAACCTTAAAAAAAAAAAAAAAAAGACGAGGATAGTGGAGGCTCCATGTAACTCTTTATCAGCCAGTCAAAAGCTCTGCAAGTAGGGAACCCTTCCCCATGCTCCTAAACACTTGGCTAATATAAGCCATCAAGAACAGCAAAGAAAAGGAATTCGTAGTCAGTTGCATTTGAGAAGATACTCTGGCAGCAGAGCTTCCCTCTACAAGATGACAAAACAGTTGTTCAGCTATGCTGAAATAGCGAATAGAGAAAAGCAGGTAGCCAATATGCGTGCAGAAGACAGATGAAACCAAAAGTATTTTATCTTCTAGTGAAACTGGTAACAGGGCAGAGAACAGTGGGCTAAGTCAAAAGTTATGGAAATTATAAGGTCCGTTAATAATTATAACAAGTTGCTACCAATAACTGCTAATTACTGAGTACACACTGTGCTCCATCTCCCAGCCTCACACCTCCCTGATTCTTTAAATCTCCATCATTTTATGGTGCACCTCTTCTCATTTCCCTGAATTATTCAGTTGAACCTGGACTGAGTCTGTGTCTAGTTTACTTTGTATCTCCCACAGACTCTAATT